ACTTTCAGAAATGTTAATAAAGAAAAGAAGTGGGCGGCAGCATGGCGCTCATTTCAAAATCAAATAGCATGTTAAACGATGACTGTCTAGTGACACTACAACGTTGTAAGCCTGCTTGACAGTTTCTGATCACTAATGCTGTAATTACGAATCGTCTGGCATGGCATATTTCAATAAGCACTCTGCTGCTATAAATAGTTTGACTTTTTTATGTTATGATTCGACATTTAGGTAAGTTGTAATAACTTTAAATATTTTTATTCATATAGCAGGTCTTGGTGATTTGGTGCTTGAGTTAAAGCTGAGGTCAGTAACAAGAATTTAGATCACTACATATATCATTTGGGTAAAGGTCAAGTCTCAAAGGTCAAGGTTACCAGATAAAGGTCGAGGTATACATGCTTATATCTGTTTGTTCACACCTCTCAGAAATGTTTGTGTAAGTGTCATCATTCATGTCTGTCAAGGTCATTTGATATCACTAAAATGCATTTTAGTTTCGAAGCAAGCAATAAATATTTAATAGATCACTTTTAAAACAGTAATAGTAGTAGTAGTTGTGTATGGTGTATCCGGGAGTAGGACTTGCGTTCTAGTCCGGACATGTTTTGGTGTGACGGGGATTCGAACCCGCGACTTACAGATTGCGAGTCGAATGCCCTAACCACTTGGCCATGCCGGGCCTATTCTAAAACGGTTTACGCCATTAAAACGCTTGTGCGAAGAGTGGAGATGAAATATTCATGAATTACTGACTTCTTAATTCACTAAATTTCTCACTGAAAATAGTAACACGTCCAAATTTCTCAGTGAATCTTGTAGATACACACTTACTCGATATCTGACATTCTTTTTTACTTACTGTGTTCTGTTTGGTATGGGTCTTCTATCCTCAACAAACCCATTCTCTCCAGATATATATATATATGACACCAGAAAAGAAGTCTATCTGTATTCGTTCATAAGCAACAAAAGAAACGTAACGAGTAACCACTAAGGCTGATCATATATGATATATCAACGAAACCCGTATATCACTCCATTCGAGCGGAGTTATAATAAAATCACACACACACACACACACACATATATATATATATATATTCATGACGGACTTACATTTCGTAAAGTACTTCCCTCCGATCTTGCGGACAGCCAGAGTGTTAAAATGAGGATGCGGCGGTTTCCGTCAATAGCCACTTAGCAGAAAATAATATTGTGCAATGAGAGAGGCAGACAGCGTCTAGGAAAGTTGAGAACACATTAAAAGGCCATAGGAAGCTTTTTCGTGGCCGTTATATCCCCACTTTCTTGGCTGCGCGACGTATCACATACATATGCAATGAGGTCTGGGAAGGCACCGGCCTATCTAATACAGACAGATTGTTGAGGATAGCTCACAGTAATAAACGCCCTCCCATGGTATCTTTTTATGGACTAAAAGTGGAAATCTGTTAATATTCTCATGTCATGAAGCGGCCGTTTGGTCGGGTTTTAGGCTTAAGTGCTACTGAACGATAAAAATGCATTCAATTGGTCATTAGCGCCAGCGAGATGCAAGCTATTCCTGAAGGATTTTAAGAGGAAAAGTTGATCTATTATTAGGAAAATGCTTTTAGACGATCATTTGGAAGTAGTAAAATTTTCGTTTTCACCATTTTTCTTATCACGAACGATCACATTTTTCGTGTAATGCTCTTTCAACTTGAAATATATATATTTATGTGTACCATTTATATAATACACGTATCCATCCTTATTTTCATACGCACTGTCGATTGAATTTACTCGTATAAAACTTCCTACTTATACCGGCAAAGCTTGTAATGAACTTTCCTATCCCAGACAGCTTGAATATCGCATATCAATGTCAATTTCTCAACCGTGTCATATTATTTACACCAAAATTAACTTCTCCGGTTGATATTTTATAGAATAGGTTGAAAGAAATATATCTATATCTATACTTATACGTGTTACTGGGATTTTAATTCATTCAGTTCTAATACATATTTCCGAAAGTTAGCATTCTATTTTTATTCTCAATATGAAGATGAAAATGGGTTGCTGGTCACATTTGATCAGTTTTGTGAAATCATTTACTGGTCAGCTTTACACCAGTTTCTGCTTGTCAGTTTTATTACGTTTTAAGTCGTTATCCATACATCGGTCTATGTTAATTAGGTCTATTAATTTTAATCCGCTTGTCCTAGACTAGCTTTGCGCGAAATTCAAAACAAACCAAGCCTTTCGATATTCTCCTGACAAAATGTTTTTCCCGCATTACTCAGCCGGCTATCTTTTCCGTGTGTAAGATTATGTATTCAGTTTACGTACAACTATGGTTCGGTATATATTGAGGCTTGCACAGAACAAACACGTGATGTTTTGTGGGTATATATTTACTGTTATGTTCTATAACGAAATTGTATTAGATATGAAATAGTGTGGGCTGAAGCATCCATATCTTTTCCTGATAAAGATTAAATATTATAAATGGTCTATTCTCAACACTGTGTGGATATACTTCTGAAAATAAGTTTTTCCCTATGGTGCATGTTACTTTCCTTCATTGTAGTTTTACCCTAATTTTATATGTCTATTCTTTATGTGTCACGCTCTTACTTCTGAAACTTTTATTAAGTCACTTTGAAAAGTAGTATACTTTGGAAATCTACTATAGGTAATTTTCACTACCCAAAGAACTAAATTTTAATTTTATACTTTGTATAATTTGAATAAAAGTATGTAGGTATTTCAATTTGTAAGTTGCACCGTTCTAACCAAATAGAAATTAAGTTGTTCATATGGTTATACAGGTTGGTTGCCATTGTAACAATGAGGGAAATTAGCATTGTTCTTCTTGTTTCTTTGTATGTTTTCAAGAAAATGGCGCGGAAACGCGTGGAGATGATTTATATATATATTTGAACGTCTTCACTGCTGTACCATGTTTAAGGGCGGAACTGTTGTGTATTTTCTGTAAACGGGAATTGACACTCAACCTATGGCAAACGACGTTTGGGACACCCTGTACACCATGTTTTCTTTGTCAGTTTCAAGTAGCTTGGCAAACCATTATTATTTTTTCTAAATCGCCAGTACTTCAGACAGTGAAATGTTTCAACTAATGATTTCATTGTAAGTCTAATATAGAATACCAGCCAGAAACATAGATTAAGTTTTAAGGCCTTTTTTTTTTAATTAGACGTAATTGATCTTCTTGAAACCTCTGCATGTTCTAACACAAAGTCATTATCTTCTCTTAACTAATGAATCGGGATCCATTAGTGTGTTTTTTATTATCTAAAAACTAAATGTTTTAAAACAAAATGTTCTTGAATGACCATTAAATCTTTTTCCATTACACTTAAATTATTATTTTGCGGAATCCAAAATACATTCATCTAGCCAATTAATCCTTTTCAGTGACCTTCTAAGATCTGTAACTGCTGAACTGCCGTCAAGTAACATATAATATGATTTTGTTTTGATTACTCTTTACTATTTTAATATAATAATTCCCAAGTAGTCACCAAATATCTGTTTATTAACTTCAAAAGATAACTTTCACTTAGTTTTCCCCAACACACTAAAGTTTTATTGTTAAACTTTCAATGCAGAACAATCCTACCATACATAACCTCTGAACATTTGCCATATAATTATTATATTAATCGTTAATCATATTAATCATTGAATGTTTTAACAATCGCCTCAAACATTTTCTTAACCACCGAATACCTTTAACTTAACTGCAAATCATGTTCTTTCTAAACTTTAATTTCCTTTCTAATCTGTTCTCAGTTGACTTTTCTAATCCGTTCTCCATGACTTTCCCTACAAAATTATATCCTCTCCTTGCTGAATCCAGTCAGTTAGGAGAGAAAGGCTTCTAAGACCAAGACTGAATGATTTTGTAAGGAACAACCAACACTGCTATCTCTCTTTCACTCTCTAATTCCAAAATATTACTGATATCAGAGGCTCTTACGTAAAAATTACTATTTTGTAGCGTTAAACGTAGAATCTAATATGAGTTCAACACACGATTACCACTATCTTTCTATATTTAAAATCAGTCAAGTAAGTTAGCCCTGAATACCACATTACTTTGCAGTATTCACTATTCATGAAATGTCACACATTTCCTGTATTTAGTGTTATTTCTTGGTATTTGAAATCAGTCAAGTAAGTTAGCCCTGAATACCACATTACTTTGCAGTATTCACTATTCATGAAATGTCACACATTTCCTGTATTTAGTGTTATTTCTTGGTATTTGAAATCAGTCAAGTAAGTTAGCCATGAATACCACATTACTTTGCAGTATTCGCTAATAATGAAGTGCCACACACACATTTCCTGTATTTTATTTTATTTAGAAATCCAGTTTCCATAATCCCAACTCATCCATTAGGATCGTTTTCACGAGTATACAAGGGCATAACAAATTAGGGCTAATTCTTTATCAATAGCAAACGAAAGCAGTTTCTTTAACTTCAGTTATTACAAAGATCATTAGTATAAGTAAGATCTTAACGTACAAAACGGTTTATTTATGTTAATAAAAATATATGGATAGGATCGGCATTCACAATAGAAAAATGGCTAATTTCACGCATTTGAACTTTAGACCTCCCTGGTGGCTCAGCGGTAAAGATGGAGAACTTGAACATTAAATTTCAGGAGAGATCGATCCCCGCAACAAAAATAGTGCTTTGTGCTTAACAACAAATAGACAAACCTTTAACTATAGTATTTAACACAAGGGACTTATGGCTTTATTCTAACCATAAAAGGATCGTTATGTTATGTGTTTATATATTTGAATATTTGTCTATATATATATGTGTGTGTGTGAACAACTACGATAAAGAGAAGTAACTTGAAAAGTTATTTTTGTATCGTGTTGAGCGATGACTTTGAAGTATTGTGTGTATATCTATTCCAAAATTCACTCACTTCCACAATCAATTTTCTGTTTTTACTTTTATTGGCAGATAATAAAATCTTGTACATGTCATCCCAGACTGTTGATACAGTTATATTAGAAAGTCGTTGTCTATTAATGCCTAAAGATCCCAATCTCCTAAGCAATCTACACACGATAGAGCGCTGTTTCAGAGGAAGCCTAGAGTAGTTTATAATCCACATCTTTCACTCTACATCTTCATGTGGCTATGTAGTCACTATTTCAGAGTAAAATTTTCGTTACACCGACGCTCTCAAAACAAACAAACAAAAAAAAAAAGATCACCGAGGCAGGAGAATACCATTGGTACCAAAAGCAATAAATTAACACTCATATTTCAATTTTTTTTTCATTCATAAACCACATGCATATACAATATCAATAAGATGGCAAATGCCAACAGTGTAAGGGATATACAGCACAACAACTAATACTATGGAGGGCAACGAAAACACGCCTTGAATACATACATGTTTTATTTTTGCGTTATTGTTGTTGTTTACAGAAAACACTTTGGTTTATCCAACAGTTAGTTTCTTGAAAACGGCTCGGCACATTCAGCACTTCTAATATAATAATAATAATATGCTGGGTTGACTTCAAAAACAACATTCGATTAGTTCGGCAAAATGGAGTCCGTGGATACATACATCTTTGGATGCTTCGCACTTTCAACTTATGAAGATCACGGTGGAAAGAGATTTGACGTTTATATTAGTGCTAACATTCTCTGGCACTTGCTAAACGGAATTTAACATAATATATACAGATTCTTTGGAAGGGAGATACCACTGGGTATTTCTTTCACTCACGGAAGACCAAGTCACTTGAGAACAAGCCATCAGGCTCTAGCAGTAAAATCGATATAGTGCCCTCTTTGAGGAAATATTTACACATTCATTCGCACGTTTACTCAACTTCGTGCTTTTATTTCCCAGGCTTGTGTACAGTTTCAATTTGTCATAACAACCCTCCCCTTAAACAGATTTTTTTTTTGGCAGCATGTCTTTGGTTATAAGGTGACCGTTCTTCCCGCGGTCAATATCATTCACCAAAGATGGTCTCAATCCTGGTAACAGAAACTGATGGTTACTCGAGATGTTTACTGGCTCGTGCAGATACTTTTAATAGGAGTTCCTGATTCTCATGACATCAGGGAGTTCCTAGCAGATGCTGTGCCCGCGGGACTTCCGGCTGTGGTGGCGGATACGGCGGCTAGAGCAGCGGCAGACCCTGCTGGATGAGGTATGGATGGAGTAAGCCGAGTTCCTTGTAGAGCAAGGCCAAAAACGGAAGAGTTACTTGCTCCAGCCTTGTTCAGTGTTACATCGCTGCCACTGAAAGCAGCAGCGGCTGTTCTGAGCCGATTCAAAGAAGCTGATACACTGGCGGAGTCCGAGAGGACAGATGGAGAGACTAGAGAGGAGTTGGAGGAGCCGGAATTAGCTGAGGTAAGTACGGAGCCTGGAGGTATAATAGATGTACAACTGTAAACATTCGATAAAGCAAACGAGCCAGGGACTGCCGTACTAACCAATGTATTGGGGTACCAAGTGGAAGGTTTGGGATAAGGACCCAAGTAGTCTAAGCGCGCTACTCTTTGGAGAGGATTTATCTTATTTGGTCCTGAAATCAACGACGATGAAGACGTGAGAAGACTTGGCGAGTTTCCAAAAAGAGATGAAGAAGTGGATGTAGCCGTGTCCACAATTGACCAGATTCTGGGCTTACCGGGAGTTGTTCGAGGCTCAGACGCTGGACTTGGGCCGCTCAGCCTTAGTATCGGTGGTTGTGAGGGGTCAGAGTCTGATCCGAGAGAAGCTTCAGAAGATGGGCTGGACACAACAACTCGTTTTTGACCAAGTACGGACAGAGCCGTTTCCCTGAGGTCTAATCTCAGCCGCTCGGAAGGATCGACTATGTCGTGTTGTGCTGGAGATTGAATGGGATCGTCATCAACGTCTACAATTTCACTCCTTGATTCCGATGATCCTGTGTAAATATAAAAAGGACTATAAAACAACTTTAATGCCATTTGTAGCATATGGAAACGTAAAAGGAAAACTATAATACTGTCGCCTGCATTTTATGTAAAAAGTCTAATGTATGAAAACAAGTGCTTTCCAATTAATAAGAAAAATTCCATTGTTATATATTTGCACCATATAAATACATGGATCAACTGAAATAATAGTTAAAATACAACGTTTCACTATACACAATCAAAAATTAATTATTGAAGTCACCAATGGCCACTATTTAATAAAAACACTATACATGTTTCGACATGTTTACGTCTTCTTATGGAGTAACTTACAAGACTGAGGTTTCAGTATTTTTTACATTTGTTACAAGTTATGAGATATTACGTTCTACGCCATTGTTTTAACTTACTAATTTTAATTATTCATTTGATTTCAAACTGACACACTTGCCGATTATTCATGCATATTAAAAAAGTATAACTGTAAGAATAAACTTTTATACTTGATAATTAAATCTTAGTAAAAACGTTTTATAATATTCTTTAAGGTCTTGCTAATTAAATGTTATTAAAAACGTTTTGGAATATTCTTTAAGTTCTTGATAATTAAATCTTAGTAAAAACGTTTTATAATATTCTTTAAGGTCTTGCTAATTAAATGTTATTAAAAACGTTTTGGAATATTCTTTAAGTTCTTGATAATTAAATATTAGTAAAAACGTTTTATAATATTCTTTAAGGTCTTGCTAATTAAATGTTATTAAAAACGTTTTGGAATATTCTTTAAGTTCTTGATAATTAA